TACACATTTTACAATAAGGACAATACCTACATTTGAGAAGACACTCAAGAGCCAATATAATTTGTTTTAGTTTTTATGTCATAAAAGACAACAAATCTCACTGAACCAGCCATCTATTTTGATATATTAATGCATAAAACATTTGAATACAACTGGCAACAGTCTGAAGTTTTAAAAATTCAATTACTACTGTAGGTTATCTTTATTAAAGGCCTTTGCCTTTATTTTATACCTGTACTTATACAGTAATATTGTGCAATCAGTTCTGCTGGACAGGATATTTTTTTATAGTTTGCTTTGGCAGAAAGAAATTCATTATGTTGATCTCCTATTGTTTGATATTTTAAGTTTCATGTGGGTAATAGAACTGTCTACTTTCCTGTTTGTTCTTATAGATACTGCAGGTACATGGATTGTGACATTTCAGGCCTTGAATAAACATCTAGATATACAATCTTCAGCTAAAACTAGATCTCTTTTCTCTAGCTCTGTTTTATAACAGGTTCAAGGCACAGAGAAAAGCAGACAAATCTATGCAATGAGCTCTGCAACTGAAATCATATATTTTGAGATGTTCAAGTTGAGATTCAACTCTGATATAGTATAATAGATTATATAATTTATATTATAAACACAGGGAATTTCAGAATAGGAAGAAAATGTTTTCATCTACTGAGCTACATTGAAAAGGCAAGAAAATAAGTATTTTATTTTAAACTGATTGGATTTGAATTTATGAAAAATAAATGACAGCTCTAATACAGAGTGATTCAGGGTAAAGGTCCAGATTTAATGCTTAGATATAGAAGTATTTACTGTACATCAGGAATATTCACTCCTTGTCCACAAATTACCAGTTTTTATAGGTAACTTATAATCCTCAATGCCTAGACATCTGGAAATGTTAACATACACCAATTAAGTGAATAATTGATTCAAATCAAGTAATTAATAATAATAATAATAATTGCTTATACTTATATAGCGCTTTTCTGGACACTCCACTCAAAGCAATTTACAGGTAATGGGGACTCCCCTCCACCATCACCACTGTGCAGCATCCACCTGGATGATGCGACGGCAGCCATAGTGCGCCAGAACGCCGCTCACCACACATCAGTTATCAGTGGGGAAGAGAGCAGAGTAATGTAGCCAATTCATAGAGGGGGATTATTAGGAGGCCATGATTGGTAAGGGCCAATGGGAAATTTGGCCAGGACACCGGGGTTACACCCCTACTCTTTTCGAGAAACGCCCTGGGATTTTTAATGACCACAGAGAGTCAGGACCTCGGTTTTACGTCTCATCGGAAGGACGGCGCCTGTTTACAGTATAGTGTCCCCGTCACTATACTGGGGCATTGGGACCCACATGGACCGCAGGGTGAGCACCCCCTGCTGGCCCCACTAACACCTCTTCCAGCAGCAACCATACAGTGGTTTTTCCCAGGAGGTCTCCCATCCAGGTACTGACCAGGCTCACACCCGCTTAGCTTCAGTGGGTTGCCAGTTGTGAGTTCACAACTGGCAAGAATCAAGCATGGAGTGAAAACCAGAAAACATGATGGCCCAACGGGATCAGTAGTGAATAACAATTCGTATATATATTAAGTGTATGTTATTGTTTTCAGTTGCATTTTGAGTTTTTTCATTTATACAACATATTAATAACCTCAACCCACTGACTTTCTACAGGCAGATAGAGAATAGGTCAAAATATAAAATACATGAGACACTGCCACACCCTGCAATTTTAATAGTAAATGAATAAACAAACCATTTACTATTTAAACTAAACATGAATTATTTATAGCTTAAAATATGTGAAATAGCAACAATACATCTAATTAGTTAATTAGCTATCAAAACATGAATAAGTCTCCATCATCACACATACAGTATATAATCATTAGATATAAAGAAACGACACATTTCTTCGGAACCTGTTTCATTCATATACCTATTTTCATTACCTAATTACTTTATCTTTAGAGGTTTTGGATTAGCGTAGCTGGCAAAGGTACAGGCAGAACTACTGTACACCCTGGTTGGTACAGCAGTCCATCACATACATGGAACAATTTACTGGTGTCAGTTAACCTGGACAATGTGTTTTTGCACTGTAGAAGAATACCCGAGGTGGCTCAGGTCAGAACTGCACCCAGGACCCAGGACCAGCAGTAATTATTGGTTAATTGTTGAAGGCTTAGAAGATACATTCTCATATGGGTGTGATTAGGAATATTTAGTATTTAAAGGGTGTATACCGTGCTAGTAGTGATGGGATTTTGAATATCAGTGCTAGGTGTGCATTAGAGCAGATTTTTGTAATGATAAAGCAAATAAATTATCCGAGGTCATTGAGTTTTAATGTGCCAGCCATTTCACCCTGCAACTCACAACTAACAACCCACTGAACCTTAGCAGGTGTGAGCCTGGCCAGTACCTGGATGGGAGACCTCCTGGGAAAATCTAAGATTGCTGCTGGAAGTAGTGTTATTGAGGCCAGCAGGGGGTCTGTGTGGGTCCTAATGCCCCAGTATAGTGATAGGAACAGCATACTGTAACGAGGTGCCGTCCTTTGGATGAGATGTAAAACAGAAGTCCTGACTCTCTGTGGTCGTTATAAATCCCAGGGATTTTCTCAAAAAGAGTAGGGGTGTTACTCTGGCATTCTGGCCAAATTTCCCCTTGGCCTTTACCAGTCATGGGCTCCTAATAATCCCCATTTATGAATTGGCTTCAGCACTCTGCTCTCCTCCCCACTGATAGCCGATGTGTGGTGAGTGTATTGGTGAACTATGGCTGCTGTCGCATCATCCAGGTGGGGCTGCACATTGGTGGTGGTGGAAGGGAGTCCGCATTACGTGTAAAGTGCTTTGACTGGAGTGTATAGAAAAGTGTTATATATATAAGTTTAAGGTATTATTATTATGCACAATAAATCATAATTGCCATTATCACTTTTCTAATAAAGTGCTTCTCATCAATTAATGGGTGATAAAGTGTTAAGCATGTTGTTAGACTGAACACGGCTAACACATTTTATAGATCCTATAGCTAATATGACAGTTTTGTTTTAAATGCTGTTTTCTTTATGAATATGTATTATCATGCAAATAAGAACCATGATTAAGTACAAGACAGAGGGAAGATCTTTAAACTGAGTCACTGAAGAATCATTTAAAAAATCATTTTCAAAATATGTAGGATATTTTTAGAAATGTAAAATGTCCTTGTGTATATTGTAAAGAGAGTAACAATTTGTTTTTTGTATTTTGCTCTTAATATTAAAGATGAATACAGGCAGAATTGCATCCTTCTTCAATCCAAAAGAGAGAACATCCCCTTAGCATTTTACTCTTCATAATTAATTTATCTACAGCCCTTTTCATGAATTCCATGCTGAAATGGCATAAGTGTCAGTCTAAAAACTGGCTTTAAATAAAATATGGTTTTGAAACAAGTTTAATTTAAAAACAAAGGAAGCTTAATTTAAAATGAATTATTAGAAGGTCTAGTCTCTTCACAAAACCTAAAGCACATTGCTTATTCTTCAATGTTATTAGATATAATCCATAGAATCACTTTTTTTACAAATCATAATGCTAGTAGCTACAGTATGTCTGCTCAGATGTATATATTAAGATACAGGGTAATGCTTGTACTGTATATTCTATGGAAAACAGCTTCTTACTACACTTGCTTAGCTATTGTCTCGTTTAAAACTGTTTTTTGGACATACAGTAGATTTAGCTTCTAATGTACTACTGTGTACTGTATCTCTACAACTTCTTCCTCACTTCATTTTGAAAACAAATTCATACTAGTGCATTTGTCGAGGTGTGTGTATAACTGTGATTACTTTTGCCTGGTAGTTTTAAACCAAAAAACATTACCAAGCAAACAAAATCAACACACAAACATTTTCAGAGTCTGAATTATTTGAAACAGAACTGTACAGTAGTCTTCTGTCAGTGTAACAGTGTTAAAATGCCACCTTGTGGACATTTTGTTGCAGTACTTTTTATTGAAATACACCAGTAAGCACATTATGGATCTAATAAAATGTATATTTGTAACCTGTGTGAATCTGTATAATGAGCTTCAAATCTATAATACATCACTACATCTGTAAAATCCATGCTTGAATATTTGCTGTAGAAACATATTTGCAATCCTTCCTTTAAATCGGTATAACAAAGACAGGCACATTATATATAATAAATGACAGACCATGATTTTTTGTGATAAATATGTAGAAGGTTTGACTTAGAAATATAGTAATTTCAGTTAATGCTGACTGCAGTTTGAGTGGTATGGTTTCATTACTAATCAGTCAAAGTGACTGACATTCAATTAAAAATTCAGTAGAGCAATTTTGTTGTGTTACATTTTCTATGAAGAGAATGTGAATGTTTATTAAAAAATAAACTGGGTAGTGAAAAGCATTTACATGTATTTTGCAGAACCTGCAAAAAAGCATAAATTAATTTTAGCCATCACTCAAAAACTATTTACGTATTATCACCAGCAGAAAAACTAAATCAAATTATTTGTTGAGCACCAACTACACAATATAGCAAAGAAGCAAACAAAACTTGTTAGAGCTCTCGGGCCACAATGCAATTCTAAAATTCATGCATTGTTTCAATTTATAGTTTAATATCTTTCTGTAATCAATCCCTCCACTACTACTGCTATAACTTATAACTGAAATTATGTTCACTTCTCAACAGTTCTTTGTAAATGTTAAAAGGAAATTAAATGTCAGCATTTCTAATTGATTACTGCCTGGTGCTTTGAACTAAAGATTATACACAGTATACATACTGTATAAATGCAAAGTCATTAGTTACAGAAACTGGTCTAATTAACTACAATATTTAAAACTAACCTGTTTTGCACAGCAGATATTATTTTGAAGTAATCACAAAATGAATTGTAAAATCTAATATTTCCAGATAGATGATTAACAATTGTCAAAAAATATCAACAATAACAGGTTTTAGTTCTTTCTTTAATGATGTTTAATTTGGGGAAAAAACATGACACAATGTTTTAGAATTGTACATGTCTAATTATGAAATCAATTAAATGATAACTTTTAAACATTTTTTTTTAAAAGTGCTTAAAATTTGTGCAAAGCTTTATGTTAATGGATGTCCATCAATCAAAAAAATATTTCAAGGGATTCTCAAATTTTAGGTTTTTCTTTAATATGGCTTTACACATACCTGTATCTACTGTAGTACATCAACAACCTAATAAAAAACATACAAAGGCTTGTCTTTCTGCATGCTAATTTAACAAGACGTTTAATAATAGAAAATCAATTTCAATTCAGTAGACAAAATTCTATAATGCTAAAAATGTAAAAGTGCATCAGAACTATTGCAAATGAAAAAATACAAAATGGCACAAAAATATATGAAGCAAGAAGCCTCCACAAGCATTTGAATCTGACATTTATAATAATTGCTATATGATGCTGTGGGCATGAATACTGGCAGTTCTCTGTAAGTTTTGTCTTCAAATTGTAAAAATTAAGTTGTACTGTACATGATTCCTTCATGATTTCAGTTTTTTGTCTTTTCGTCCTGCAGTATCTGAGAGAGTGTCTGTCTTTCTTTTTTGTGCCTGAAAAATAGTCAATGGTGTTAATTGCAGAAAACAAGATTCTTTATAGAATTTGAAAGTTCATTAAATTACATTTTCTCACATAATATGGTATTTTTAATTAATTCTGTTTACAATAACTTTAACAATAATAGTACTATATTTATATAATCATATCTGAAAACCACATTACAAACCAAAATTAATTGATGTATTCAATGTAAAAACTATACTACAAATGTAGTATAACATTATAAAAACTTTGATAATGTTATAAATGTTAGGCATCAGTGGCAAAATTAATATTTAAATCCTGAAAAACAATTCTTAGATAAACACCTACTATTTTATGCACATTTTAGGCTTTTTTCCCAACTAAATACAGATATATATATATAAGTAAACCCCAGTAATTTGTTACTCACAGTTTGAGCTTTAGGTGCCCTTTTCTTCTTTTCAGCTCTTTCTTTTTCCTCAATTTCCATGTTCTCTTTTTCTATCAGTGAAATGAGGGTGTTGCACCGTCTCTGAAGCTCCTAAATGTAGAGCCTTAGTTAAAATTCAAACCAATTGTAACTATTACCAAATACTTCTTTTCTTAATTCATTTCTTAACTTTCAGGTAAATCTACTAAAAAATAAAAAGTTAGGTAAAATTCAAAAGAGAGTACAAACTGTCATCTTCTACTTACCATAGCAGTTCGCGATTTAATAAACCAATCAAATCTAAACTGTGGTGCATTTCGAACACACTGTCTCAGTTCCTCATAGACATTTTCCTTATCAAAGCCCATTTTGTGAAGCATACAGATGAGGAATCTGTCTTCTTCTTCTGTGTAGTTCTTTCCTTTGTTGGTTCCATACTGTATCCTTAACTGGTGAAATGGGGCCTTATATCGTGCAATCTGAAACATGGTAGCTCCAAGTTATTATTTTATTTTCATTTTATTATATATTTTAAGTTCTAAACCAGCCACAAACTACCACATATTCATAGACTATAATAAATTCACACTTTCTTCCCTATGACTTTACTGTTTGTGTCCATTTTTAGTATATAAACTCCTATATATTTCTGCATTTTGCACAGACTTTGTTAACACTTATCTTATGCACTGTATACTTATTCTTTACAAAAAGAAAAAGAGTGCATTAAAACATAATTATGTTCGTAGTATTTCATGACATATTGTACTATAGGCCGAAATCTAAAATCCCTTTGCAATACTACTCATTTTCAATCCAATGTTCTTTTCATTAGTATGGCATCTAATTCACATAAGATATTCTCGTAAAACCTTCAAGCACACATCCCCCCAACTGGTCTACCTTTGCATCTAGTGCTTTCTTAATGCTGATCCTTCTCTGGATCCTTGCTTCACCACGCTCTATTTGAGCCATTATTTTCTCGATATCCTGTAGCTCATTACATCGTTCCCAGAAAACAGCTTGAAAGGAAAATAAATGTTGTTACAGAAATACAGTTACACATTACAACTTTATATTTACATATTACAGTAGTTATGCTATAAGTTAATTATTATTTGGCACATTTATGTAGGGCAACTCAATTATTTATGACAGCCAGTATATGCAAATACCCACAATATAAAACAGAACAGGTAGAGAAGTGAGGAACATTCACTTTAATTAACTGAATTAAGGGGGGGTGTTAGGGAGGCTAAATGTAATTTTAGGTAGCCCTGTGGTGCACTTAGCCAAGAAACTGAGGTTAACACCCCTAATTCTGGTAACAGTGGCAAGGTATCTTTAATGATCAGTACTCAAGACCTCAGTTTAACATCCCATCTGAAGGACAGCACCTCCTACTGTATAGCCCTGTACTTAGTCACCATACTGAGGCATAATGTTTTTGGAAATTGCAGTCCAGAGGAAAGAACTGTCCCCTACTGGAACACCAATAACACCACTTAAAGAAGCAAGTGGGTTTTCTTAGAGTATTCCCATTCCAATGCTGATCAGACCCAGCATTGCTTAGCTACTAAATATGATAAGATCATAATACAAGGCAGTAACGCTGCTGGAATGGTTTGCCAAATTCCCATGATGTTCAACTTCAACCAAAACGTAGATTAATAAAAGTTCATGAATATTTAAATGAAATCCTACCAGAATACTCAATGACTTCTTCTGGGGTTTTCCCTTCCACTTCACGAGCAATGTTGTCAATGTCATCACGGCCATACTTCTCATTTGCTTTTATAAACTGATTAAAATCCCGCTTGTTCCAACTTGTAAATCCCTGTGAAAGACATGGAAAAACATTACTGCTACCATAAAACATTCAGGTAGGCTAATGTATTGTAAGAAAAAAATATACCTCCACTAAAGCTAAGGCAGTCTATCTTTAAACCTTTACCTTTAAAAAGTTAATTTATTGTAAAAACAAAATTAAAATATCTCAGAAAGTACTCTTTACTTATTTTATTTGCTTATATTAAGCATTTTTAGGATTGGTAAAAAAGCACAACTGGATTTTCCAGATTAGATGTATTATATAGATCTGATTACATTAACACTAATGCACAATCTACAATATATATATGGATCACATCAATTTAAATCAGGATTATACAACACTATAGGATATTTCAGACATAAAAGTTGTACAGTATTTGTTTAATGACACTTATGACTGAAATGACTGAGTGACCTGTGTGAGGAGTTTTTCCTTTTCTTCAGTCTCTTCTGCTGTAAGTGGTCCTGCCTCATCAATCTTTCTTTGCTCTTCTTTTTGCACCTGGGTTGCATTGGAAAGCTCAGGGTTTTTAGGAACCTACAGAGCAAAAGTAAACTTCAGTTAAGTATCATATGAGTAAATGAGCCATACCACCCTGCAAGAACACCTGGCAGCCCACTGAAGCTAAGCAGGTGTGATCCAGACCTCCTAGGAAACATTAAGATTGCTGCTGAAACTGGTGTTAATGGGGCCAGTAGGGGGCACTCACCCTGTAGTGTGTGTTTGTCCTAATGCCCAAGTATAGTGACAGGGACACTATACTGTAAAATGGCCCTGTCCTTTGGATGTTGTCTCAGATGAGACATAAAACCGAGGTCCTCTCTGCGCTCATTAAAACACACACTCTCTTCGTTTCTCGAAAAGAGTAGGAGTGTAACCCCTGGGTCCTGGCCAAATGTCCCATTGGCCTTTATCAATCACGGCCTCCTAATAATCCCCATCTATGATTTGGCTTCATCACTCTGTTCTCCTCCCCACTTACAGCTAATGTGCGGTGAGTGTTCTGGCACACTATGGCTGCCGTCACATCATCCAGGTGGATGCTGCACATTGGTGGTGGTGGAGGGGACTCCCCATTACCTGTAAAGTGCTTTGAGTGGAGTGTCCAGAAAGGCACTATATAAGTGTAAGGAATCAATTATTATTATTATTATTAAGTAAACTTTACTTAAGTCTCATATGAGTAAAACATACACTAGCGTTACCAGTATTAATTCTTTTAATTTGATGCCTCTTTCAGCTGTATCTTAAAATATATTTTTCAAGCGTTACGTATGTACATTCGAAGTTGTAAGAAACCATTATTAATTCAATTATACTGGAACAAAACTAGATTATTAAAGAGCTTTGAAGAAAAAAAAACACTTTGAAGAATTATTAAAGCAAGAGTGTACAAAAAAGCTATCAAACGAAAGTCATCTTCTTTACTTGTGGGGAAGATGACGAAATATAGATTTTTTCCCATGCCAGAAAAGCTTAAAAAGTCACAACAGTGAAATCCAATACTGGATAGATAAGACTGTTATGAAATGTTTTTATCTAACTCTGAACAAAATTAAACCAACAGCAGAACATGAGTTGGATCGTTCTGATCTGGTCACTTGGTGTTCAGAAGAGAGATCGGGAATGTGAGAGTCTGATAGTCCTAAACTGCTGTCTGAGGCTATTTCTGAAATTACATATTTCAACACTTTTTACTGTAAGCAGATAACATGCTGTTAAAAAGGTAATCACCAAAAGTACTGTGTACCATGAATTCTTTATCTGACAGGTACATACAGTATAGTCAAAAAATAAAATGATAGTGTACTTTCCTTCTACAGTATATGCAGATATTGATTGCATGTATAAATCTATACCTATTTATTTTAGACTGAGCTTGAAATTATTCACTGAAGGTCTGAAAAATTACAGCCCTAGATAACAGTAGCTCGGCTCAATTTACTCTGTCACACTGTTTAAACAGATGAATGCTAGGCTGAAATGTCGCAAGGGAAACTGTGTATGGTCGCCTGGTATGATAAACAGACACCATACAATCTGTCAGTCTGTTTTGGCAGGGGCTGAGAACCAAACAACATGGGATGGTCAGGCCAAAGTTGAGGTGTGCTAGTGAGAAAGAATCCCTTGATACATGCTGGTACCATCCAGTGCCTCTGTTCCTCTTCTGTTATGGTTTTGTCTTCATAAGACGACCCAACTTTTGCATACAATGTGTTCTAATGTACAACTTTCATTTAATTTGGTATGGTAGAAATGAAGCAAACTTACCTTGTAGCCTATTGTCTTTCTGTAGTACAGAATTTCCTTCTCCAGTAATTCAAACAAGCGTGGCGGAAAAAACTGGAAATCTTGAATATTTGGCTGCTTTGGTGGACGTGGGGCCTCAATAATAGAAGAGACTAATTAGGATCCATGTAAAACTGTTATGATTAAATTAACATTCTTGTGTGATGCAAACATTTACCTTGGGTGCCCTTGGTTCACTAACTCTGAGAGCTTCTCTAAAATATGCATCAACAGCATAATTAGCTTTTCGTTCTCTTTTTGGTGGTTCAATCCATTCCATCATACTGAGCTGAAAAAATTAAAGGGTAATAAATTTTCAATAGAAAAAAGTGGAAAAGGAATAGACTGTATTGTGCATAGACCTTAAGCAAACTTTTGATTTGTTTAAGAATCACTGCAAACATTGTCCACTACAAATAAATAAATATTAACAAAATATACAATTTATTTTCCTTTTTGGCCTGTCCTTACCTCAGTTGATTTATAATGAGATTATAAAACTGAATCAACAATGAATTTGTATTGTAAAGCACAAAAAGTATAAATACCTTTTGCTTTTCCCTATAGTCCTCCCCCTCAAAGTTATACAGGCTGGTTTCTGTATCCACAGTGAAATTTCTGAGAGAACTCTCACCAAGTTTCTCCAATCGCTCATTCATTTCTGCAGTCTACAAATGATTGAAGAATATTTCATAAATGTTTGCAGTTTAAGCCAAAACGAATGAGACAGAATCAAAAATGTATTAAAATGTGCTATTTCACTTGTCTTCTTACCTTCTTTGCACCTCTCTCAAGGATTGTGTTAATGTCTTCATCTGTCAGTTCACTGTCTTTGGAAGCAAAGACATGAGTAGCGCCATGACGGATCATCTGCAGCATTTCATCCTTTGCCAGCTTATTGGATTGTTGATCAATTAATCTCCCTGTAAAAAGACTGAAATCCATTAAAGAAAAGGAATGCAGAACAATCAGTATTCATAAAATATAAACTGTAACCTGCTCACAGCTCTGGAACAAGAAATCTTTCAAAAATATTTAGATGCAAAAATATCGATGCTGTACCTATGCTTCATAACAATCTATGCTCATTAAGGACATTTAGAAAGATGTAATATTGAGTAGAATCACACTTTTTTTCAGTTATTTGCTTTTACACAAAAGTATTTATTAAAGATGAAGAAAACATATAATTGCAAAAAACATATTTACAACACCCTGCAAAAGTAATCATCCCCTTCCAATAGTGACACATTTTGTAGCATGGCTAATAATATATCTACACAATTTTAAAATGAATATTTTAAATAAAATTAGAATGTTCAAACTTAATGCTTTTTTTAGGTGAAAGAAGTTAAAATCAGAAAAAACTGCAAGAAAAATCAGAAAGTATGTTGACTATATAATAATTCACCTTTGACATATTTTTTGGATTAACAATATTCACTTTATAAATATGTGTACCCATCATTTGTAATTGAACAAAATGAGACATCAATGTGTAAGGTCAATACTTTTGCAAGGCATTGTATACTGTGTTTAATCACAATGTGTCTTGTTTTGAAAGGTTGAATACCTTGTTGTATCACAATGGAGTCTAGTCTAAGTTTCATCTCAGCTCTTTCAACAATCCTCTCCTCAACTGTGTTATCAGTGATGAGCCGAAACACACGCACAGTTTTTGTCTGGCCTATACGATGGGCACGATCCTACAAATAAAAAGGAATAAATGATTTTCATAGCCTGATCTTCAGACTCTCAGAGGCCACTCTTTTGGTTAAAAAAATGCTTCACAGGGATCATCAGACTTTACAAGGATAATACAACTAAATAAGTCTGGTATCATTTTAAGCAAGTGGGTTAGATAAATGCAGCTCTATATTTAAATCTAAAGAAAAAATCAAGTAAGCAAAATAACTTTTTGTACAAACCATAGCTTGCAAATCCACTTGTGGATTCCAGTCAGAGTCATACAGAATGACAACATCAGCTGTAGCCAAGTTAATTCCAAGTCCTCCAGCTCTGGTGCTTAACATGAAAATGAATTTTGTGCTGTTTGGGGCATTGTAGGCTTCTATTGCTTCCTATAAGTTTTGAAATAAATAGTGATGTGATACATGGCAAAAAGCTACAAAATTATGGAGATTACATAATAGACTAGCAAGGAATCTTTAAATAAGAATGATAATTGTTATAAACATTTTTATGATATTAAAACATTGATATGAATTCTGATGCTCAGTTAACGTGCATAGCATGAGTTTGGAAATTAAAAAAAATAACATAGTACACATACTGTAATCCTTATACTCTTCACAATTACTACAGAGTATACTGTACATTTATTCTTTTAATCCTTTGAGTGGATATGCAGTCACAAAAGCTAGCAGATCTGCAAGATATTTCATTTAAAGTAAGCCAGCAAAGTATAAGACATATACTATATGAAAGGATATATCAGAACTCCAATCATAACAGGTAAATGTTATTTCATACCTCTCTTTCTTCATGTGGAGTATTTCCATCGAGACGGCAATACTCATAACCTCTCCACATGCAGTAATCCTCTAAAATGTCAAGAACTCGGGTCATCTGGCTGAAGATAAGGACTCTGGATCCTTGTAATAGAGCAAAACAAGGCGCATCAGTAAGTTAGCCTACTAGGGATATGAGTCACACAGCAGTATTGGTAGCAAAAATGCCAGTCCTATTAAATATCTTGAATACCATCCAGAAGATAGAAGAAAGTTTAGAAGTCTTTGAAAAAGTGGTTACAGGAACATCAAGACACAACGACCAGTTCCAAACATATTTTACTTGTTAAGCTTACTAAGGTGCCAAATAATTCTCTTTTTAGCATTACATTTTCTTCTCACATAAAACACTTACAGTAATTGGAACAATCCCATTAAACAAATGCAATCTGCATTTACAGGAAACAGACACTGTATGTTAATGTCAACAACCGACCTACAGTACATTTAAAAAATGTTCAAAATAAAGTGTTCAGTAACAAAAACATCACAGGTATGTAAAACTATACTTTAAAAGTACATATTCAGGGACCCATATGAATAGCAAAATAGAACAGGCACCTTGTTCTTTAACCTTTGGCAGCAGCTTATCCAAGACCACCATTTTTCCACTGTTGGTGACTAGGTGTGTGTCAGTAGTGTATGGAGGACCGGGTTCTGCACCGTCAAAGAGATATGGATGGTTGCAGCACTTCCTCAATTGCATCAAGATATTCAAGAGACGCATTTTGTCCATCTTCCCAGCAGAATTGAGAATATCAATGTCTTTCATAAGTATCTTTGTGTACCTTCAAACAAACAAAAATGCACCAAAGGTCAAAAGTGAAAAATTTCAAATACCAATCCATACAAAAAGTGTATGTCCTCAAGAACTGCTTAAAACATCAACAGCTAACCAATCTTACCATTCTCTTTGCATCTTGCTGAGGCCAAGATATATTTTGACTTCCTTCTTCGGTGGCAAACTTTTCTCCACTTCAGCTTTTATGCGGCGAAGCAAGAAAGGTCTTAAAACCTCAAAGAACAGCAAATAAAATCATTTTATTCTAGAGCACTTGTGCAAACATAAAATTATTTGATTCAGGAGAACACATACTGAATTCAGGCAGCATGGTTTTGTAACATCCCAGTGTGTGATCTGTGTGTGTTTTTTTTATGTTCCACACTGCTGACCTTTGATTGTTCTCCCTTCCCCATTGGCCCACCATTACCCCACTGTTCCGTATGACATCATCCTCAATCAGCCTCTCAGCCAATCAGACTGCATCTTATTCAATATATAACATAGAGGTTTTCTGAAGGAAGGGCCTTTCGTTTGACTTTGGTCCTGCTTGGTTTTGGTTATCACTTCTGGTTATTGCGTCAGCTTTGTTGTTTTGTTGGTTTTCTGTTAGTTTCTTTGTACTTTTGTTTGTTTGTGTGTGTGTTTATCCTTGTTTTGTCATTACCTTGCCCTTACGTGTTACTTTTGTGTTCTTTTGTACCCTGTTCCTGTTGATTACTCTTGTTCTCCCTTATTTGTATTCTGGGTTCACTTGTGTTTTTGTGTGAACTTTTGTGTATAAGGTTAGTTTAGGTTGTTGGGTACACTTTACACACTTAGTTGATTTTGTATTAGTAACACTAGTTTAGTACAGGTGAGTGCCATTTGTCTTGTATGGTTTTGGGTAGTCAGGGGGAGGTTAGTAAGGGTGTTGAAGACGCTGAAGACCGTGTGTTTTGGGTTTTCTTTTGTAGTCAGATTAGCTTTCCCTCACTGTCCTAGCCAGCTCCATTTCGTTATTTTCTTTCCTTTGGCACCACTCTAGTTCCTTACCCTTGTTATCACGCTTCCTAGTCCCTCACCAAAACCCACCTGCTCCCAAAAGAATTATCCTAAATGTTACACCCCTTTACCCCTAGACACTTGGGGTCGTAACAGTTTAAACAAATTAACTGAAAGTACTCCATTTAGACAGTTGCTAGAAGGGTCATTCTCACATTTTTACCAAACTGTTTTGTGTAATGTCATTGGCAATAAGATGTACAGGTAACTGATTCTGGCAACAAGAATATCCTAAATGAAATGTTCAATAACGTAAATTTCTTAAAAACTTACTGCATGCAGACGTTCCACAAGTTTCTGATCTCCAAGACAGTTGTTTGTATCAAACCATGAATCAAAATCCTGAAAATGAAATACACAAGAGAAAAGTATAACTGACACTTCATCTAGTATTGGTTTCTTTTGAGCATTTTTATGCTTCTACACAGTAATGTACACAAGAAAGGAAAATGTAAACTAAATCTTGACAGCAGAGGTGTTGTAATGTCAGAGATGTAGTAAGTATCTGAATTTAAATTACAATGAATCTTGAAAACATCAGATCAGCAACACCCTGAGGGGACTATGTATTCATTTTCTGATCTGAACGTGAATGAGGTGGAGCAGACAAAGGAGCATTGAGAAACATGCTGGAGGGGAAACTACTGTAGCTGTTCTAAGGTAGCATTCAGACACAAAAAGAAAACAGCACCAACAGCAGAAATTTCATGACATGAATATCATGAATAAAACAAATAATAATAAAGTATCACTAGAGGGGCATGGAAGGCCTTGAAAGGCAGTGCAGAAATGTAGTTCACATTGCCAATGGAAAGTTTTTTTTTTTAAGTCATACATTATCCACTGGTAGGAGAATGTTATTTTTTACATTATAGCCATACAAAATAGTAAAGCAAAGCAGCTGAATACAAAATAGTGATAAGTTGCTGAAGGGCACAACATACATCTGCTGAATTGAAAACGTCAGGTAAGAGGAAGTTCAGCAAGGACCACAACTCATGTAGGTTGTTCTGGAGAGGAGTTCCTGTCAGGAGCAACCTGTTTGTTGTCTTAAACTCTCGAACAATTTCAGAAAGCTGTGGAAAAAAAAATTATATTACAGTTTTTGGTTAGATCACAAGATTCATACTGTTTAACAATTTCAAATATAGCACTTTTCATACTAAAGGATTTGAAAACACTTTACCAATAGCAGGAGATGCACATCATCCACCACTGAACAGCTACATCACACAGCACATTATGTAGAAAACAAATTACTTCACCAATTATAGCGTACGTTAAGGACAACAAAAAATAAACCCAGTGTGGAATTTAGGCAAGACATTGGGTTTACACCTTTACTCTTTAATAAGTGCCATAGGATCTTTATTGGGTCTATATTCTCTATTTTGGTGAAGTTTCTGACCATACAGTAAGTGCAGAATTTATGGGCCTGTTGTGAGCCGTGTCTGGTGAGGAGCGTCTGTGGTATCTTTGGTGTCTCTTTATATGACACACAAGTCGTGAATTGTTCTAGTATCTGTTCCAGTATCCCTATTTTGCCATACAATAATTAATACAATACATTTTGATTGCATACCTTAGACTTCTCATTCTTTATTCTGTGTGCTTCATCTATGACTAGGTATCTCCAGTTGAATTTCTTAAAGACAGACTTTTCTCTGATCACCATTTCATATGATGTAACACAAACATCCCATTCACCAGGCATCATGACATCCCGGATGAAAGCAGCCTGCAAGGTAAGATAAATTTTACTCCGTATCTATAATCAGATCTGTAAGTCTATATATCATCACATCTAGTATTGAATCAAAGCACAGGAAAAAAATAATTTTGAAAGAAATTTGAAAGATTTTCACTTACTCTTGCATCCTTGTCTCCAATGAGACAGACAGCTCGAAGGGTTGGGACCCAGCGTTTGAATTCATTCATCCAGTTGTGCAAAGTAGATTTTGGAACCAAAACCATGTGTGGTCCGGGAATGTTTCTGTAGTGCTTGAGATAACCAAGTAATGCTATCGTCTGTAGTGTTTTACCTAACCCCTGCATAAAAACAAAATATTGACTATAGATAAATAAACTGGAATAAGCCAAGTATCAGAGAAAGATCAACACAAAATACACAATGGATCACCATCACATCCACTTATTTTTCTTTCTTTTTTATCTGGAATTGGCAATTGGGCTTTTTAGTACATTTTACAATTTTGCATAACCACCCAATTTCAAACAATACTGATTGTTTAGTTACCAAGAACTCCAGTACCCATTAGGGAGAGAATGAGACATACAGAAATACTCTTCTCACATGTCCACCTAAAAAGCTATTCATCATTTGACATGCTGCAAGCATTACAGTACCTGACAGGAGAGTAAGCTCTAATTGGAGGAGAAGCACATCCTACTGTACCTTTGATGTCACTTGGGAGCCAGTGTTGTGCCAAGAGCAGCAGGGATCCAGGACAACTACAGTAAACTGAACTTTACCACAATGGCACTTTGCCAATTGCGTACCTCTACTGGAACCATCCCTGTCATTGGTGGCTAGTAACTGTAACTAACAACACTTGAACCATAGTGCTCAGCCTGTGCCTCATGCATGTGGCTTTAGAAAGTCAAGAGCCTACAGTATGTATTTCTGCTTACAAAGTATTTCTGTTCATCTCCACAAACTACAGTAGGTTCTCAACACCTAGGAATTTAACATTCAAAATGTCACTTATTTGTGATTTGGCTTGGCCAATGGGATCTTTGACAAACAAAAACCAGAGTGGGATGAAGTTTGTGATTACTGTTGTTTGTTTTGTTGATCAATATTATTTTAATTAATGGCCTATTCAGTAGTATTTTAATTATCATAGTGTATGAGATAGGGTTACCTTTATCTTTTAACCATACTATGTACTGTAGTGCATTATGCAACAATAAAGGGGTGAACTAAGTTACAGTATACAGGTATGCAAATTTGGCTGTTTGTGATGGTTCTCTGTACCATACTCTCACAAATGTTAAGACCATCCTGTATACAGGAATATGAGAGGGGTAAAATAAAAATGTTGCAATCTCTCATGACAATGAATTCCAAAATATTCTATTATATTAATATATTAGTATTAGCTATTATATTAATATTCTACTTTGGAACTTACATGGGTTAGGTTATCTTATGTTAGGTTACGTAAGCTCCAGACTATTTAATTCAAACATTTTGTAAATATGATAGTAATTTAAAATTAATTCCTTTTCAGTGTAACTAATTATAATGGCAATTTCGCCATAACATCATTAATTCAGAAATTGCCCATTTTTTCTAGTTCAATTATCTCCTGTAGTTCATACCATCTCATCAGCCAGAATTCCATTTATTCCATTTTCATATAGGGATATCATCCAGTTCAGGCCTCGAATTTGGTAATCCCTCAGTGCTCCATTTTTAACATCTGGAAAACAAAATATTTGAAATAACAATAAAATCTGAGCATTTAGCAAAGCATTACAATTAGAAATGTCTTAATACAAAATCTATTACTGGATACACCTGCTAAATATAGCCATTAAAATGGTAGCTTTTTTATCTGTAAGCATCATGAAATTGAATGTATTGGCCAAGCTATAAAAGATCATGACAGCTCAAGTAAAATTACTTAATTCAATATTTTTTTGTGCCTTACAAGATGGTGATTCTTCAAATCTGACCAGGACGTTTGATGTCTTTCGGCTCTCTGACAGCAACTCCTCATCCTCTTCTTGCTCAGTGCGTCTATGACGATTACTGAAATTTACACACACAAAAAAAAACCATTTAATATTTAATATATATGTATTCCCAGGCAATTTAAAGTGAAAAATAAAACAACATCAAATATTGGTTTAATGGGAAGAACTGTATTTCATTACCATTTAAATAATACAGACGGAGACCACAGTGGTACACTGCACTCATACACACAGTGGAATCGTGATACAAGTAAGCACTGAAATATAAATGCAGATGGTACTAATGTCTGTATTAAGTGGTACAAATTATTTCAAATAACAATCTTATTGATGACTTACTCCCCCACGGAGAGCAGATTTTGTTTTTCATCCTTCTTCATGCGAGGTCTCCCCAGCTTCACTTTCAGTGGAGATGTAGGAGACTTCTGTGCTGCTGGCTGAATAAAATGTGCAAAGAGCTCTGTCTGCTTCAATAAGAATTCAAATCTGTTAGCCCGATCTGTTTTCTGAAGGAAAAAGAGAGAAGAAAAAAATACTTTAAATCCTGTGTGTAGTTTGAAATATCTGAAATATACCTGAAGTACATTTCTGCATGTGTTTCTTATTTGCACGTAAGTTAAAGTTTACTTGTTTACTATTACCAGTTTAAAACAAAAGCAGTGCATTAAACCAAAACTTGAAACTTACAATGAGAGAGGAACCATTAATCTTTTCTTTTGAACATTTCACCAACACAAGTGAAATATGTTCTGTACATGTTCAGTAGAGTTCCCATGTCTCATCATTTATTATTGTAATCTTAGAAACTAAATCTGAATAAATTACAATGCAATTGCAATTTTGATCTATAACAGCTAACATCAAATCTAGAATTGAAATACATGTTTCTTTTGAATGGTATTATAGAACAGGTCACACAATTAAGGGTGAAAATTGTTAATAATATATCAGACAGCAAAATAATAATGCATGATACAGTATGTGCATTGAATTACTTACCCTCTTTTCCTCATATTCAGGGTCAACGTCTGCCTCTACTTTTGTTACCAGTTTGGGGGGAGGTTTGAGTTGAAAAGGTGGATCCTCTTTCTAAACGCACAGAGTACATCAAATAATAAATGTAATGATTACTGTATGTAAATGACATTTTGTCACTTTGACTATTTTAGTTGCTTTGTTTGTGTATTGAATATAAGTTTTAAAATTTAAAATAAACTGCACATCTTTCAATATAAATGAAGTAATGTACTATTAATTTAGTAATAATACCCTAAGTATGAGTAGCATGGTTAGATGGTGAAGTTATTTATACCAAAACTGTATATGGACCTATATGTTTATGAATAATAGTATTATTTTATCAATGTATATTATATTAATTGGAGTTTTTTAGAATAGTAAAATAAGTCTCAGTTTTTCTCTGTATACAGCATACAGTATATGGCTTTTTCATGTTTCCTAAGTTTATTAAATAAATATAGTTGTCTCATTCTGTAATCAAAACATCCGAAACAGCATATTTTGTGTGTCTGAATTACCATTGGGGGCATTCTTCAGTACATTATTACATTAGTGAATTTTGACTATTATGAAAGGGGAAACTTGCTATTAAGTCTGTATTTATAATGTACAGAACAATTACTTAAAACTGGACTGTGTCTGTTAATGTAACAGGTATAATAATTATACAACACAACACCTATTCGGTTTCCTATTCGACAGCAGGCTTTTTCTCTCGCAGTGCCATTTTACTGTGTTCTTGAGGTACTGTATTAGGTACCAGCTTCTCTGCAAGACGCAGTGAGTGTCGTTTTCAATTTTCACGCCCACCTGTATTTCTTTTGATCGGTACCTGGGCTACTATACTAACTGTAGGGGTTAGGTGGTCAGTCATGCTTTGTTTTAATATAATAGGTTGTTTTTGTATCTTCTAAAATACAGACTGACATCTGTCTGCAGATGTTGCGTGCTTCCTTCCCGCCATATTCCCCAAATGCAAAACGAAGCAAAAAAAAAAACAGCAAACTTCGGTTCTGCAATGTCTACTTCTTTTACACAGAAGCTTACTGAAAAATACTGCACATTATCCTTCCCTCACCTCCTCCGAATCAGGTTCAGGCTCCCGGGATGTTGACGGAATCTCTTCGTCTGACATTGCTCCTATACTTGTTTAATCTTGACTCAATTTTGATTTTTACTGTAAGTTAAAATAATAAAATACGTCACCATCTGACTGTACATTTCGTAGCATCCGCCCCCTTATACATATAATTAAATCTCGCGGAGTTATGGCAACGTAACACCGCGAGAAGTTAGTCCGGTTTTGACTAGAAAATTCGGACAGAAAGGAAATATATTTCCAGACGTTGAGTTGGATTTCGATTCTAAAGGCTTAGCCTAGTATTTTAAAAAATGCACACACATAATGTCATCTATTTTAAAACACAGAACTGGTGTTGATACTGTACTTGTGATCTTTCAAATGAGCTTGCGCCCTGTGTGATTTTACTTTTTAAGCGCTAGTTATTTGTATTTTATTTCTTGGAGTCGTAGTTGTTTTGATACAACAAATCTTAATACAATATATCTAAAGAGCTATGCCAAGATGTGTCAAATGCCAAAATAGTAAACGTAGTATACATATTAGTGGAAAGGGAGAAACTGAAGCTGTTACCGAATTAATGTGAGAATATTCGGTTTGTTCAATAAATATGTCCTACTGGAAGAACGAAGTAGCAGTGATCCGTACCACTGCAGTGTCGAGATATTTTGAATTTAAAGCAGGAGTATAATAAAAAAAACTCGTACACAACGACGTTTAATCAGTTAAGAATTATTGAAAAAATAACAGGTCCTTTAACATACTCTCGCCCAGTCTCATTAATATATTTTATTAATATTGACATAGAATTAGCACTTAATGCTAATAATTTTTGTTTTTGTTGTATTCAATGTGTGTTAGATTCTTTTAGATTTGTATTAGCTCTGTTATTATACTATTGGATTATTTGACACCTTTGTAATGTTCTTGCAGTGATCATTGTACCGACATTTAAATAGTACTTGCATTTATTCCTGTAAATCGCCCTGGATAAGGTCATACGTCTATCGAATAATAATTTCACAGTTTTCTTAGCGCAGGAAAAATGTTAAACAGACCACTAGATGTCACAAAAGCCTAATGTATTGAAGTTAGAAATTTGAAATCTGCTGTAATCTATGCAGGTCTGAAGTTTAGTGAGAATCATTTATGTCACCTTTGCTTTAATCAAAACCTTAAGCAAATAGTGTACTGTAGTTGTCCAGACCACACTAAAACCTTAAGGCTTCTACTACTTACTATCTTTAGTTTCCTCACCATTTTTCATGAGCCATATACAGTACATCAGCTGCTCAGTTTTCTAACCCCTTTATCCAATATAGGGTTGTGGGAGAGCCAGAGCCTTTCCCAGCAACCAACAGGCACAAAGCAGGATACACCCTGGACAGGATGTCAATTCATCGCAGGGCACACACAGACACACACTAATTTCAAGGCCAGTTCTCCCAGAAGCCAAAAATCTTACCAGTATATGACTTTTGCCTGTGGGAGTAAACCAGAGCACATAGTGAAAGCCTGCATGACCATGAGGTGAACATAAAATCTTCTCACAGATAGCATCCCACGTCCAGAATTTAACCCAGGTCCCCACTGCTGTGATGCAACAATACTAACCACTGCGCTACTGCACCACCCAAGCCATACTGTATACAGTTACATAAAAAATATGATTATCTATTACATACTGTATGATGAAGTCATCATAGCCAAGGTCTGAGATCATGTGTAAATAACGAAGCCAAGTAGTTATATATCAATAAGTCTTACTTTTATTATATACTGTATAAGGGTATGAGAAGTGAACTAGAGGATCATTTAAATGGATTCTACATGAAAATCCCCATGGGTCAAAAGATAGGTCTTGCCTATTTAACTTGTTTAAATTCTTTTAACAAGCAACAGCAGTAACAAATACAACCATAGCACATAATATACATTTAGGGTTTTAGAAAGCTTTTAATAAAGTTCTTCATAAAGGATTAGTTCTGAATTTGCAGGCATTAGGTATTTAAGATGATAGATGGATTTGGATTAATTACTGGTTAATAAAGTAGATAGAAAACAAAGTACAGATAAGGTATAAATGCTAAAGAGCATAATGATCTTAGTGGAGTGCCACAGAGATCTGTATTGGGACCGCTGATCATTTTAAGTTTCATCAATAAACTAGATTCTGGTATAGTTAGTAAACTATTAACTTTCGCAGATTATACCAAATTAGGAGGATTAGTAAACATACAATAGAAGAAGTAAATCCTGTGGCCTCCCAGGAGCTTGTAGTGATGTGGTGCTGTCAGCCTAACATCTCTATCATGGGCTGTGTTGTCTTCGACATGTTAAGTGTTAAAAGAGCATTGGCTCAACAGTGGGTTGTTGGAGGACCCTTGGGTGGTGGGTATGGTAGCTGAGTCTTGAAGAGCACACAACTGGCTGGTCCAAATTGGGTGGCTGTGAGGCTAACAGCAACAAAATAGGCTAGATTGAACAATTGGCCAATTTTTAATATTTTTTTTTCCGAGTTAGATGTTCAGATAGAAGGGATAGTGTAAATGAGATGAAGTGGGGAACTGCCTCAATGCAAGCTGGAAAGGAACAAGTTGAAGTTAATACCATGATAAGGAGAAGCAAAAAAACAATACTTTAGTCACTGCTAACATGCTAATTTAGAATTTAGAACATGCTTATTACTGTACATACTTTTATGAATATACAATATATAATGGAATACTTGGCAAAGTATTCATTTCCCTATGAAATGTCCATATTATGTTGCCATCTGAGATGGAATTGATCACACTTTCAAATATTAATTTATATTAAAAATTTCCATCATACTGATAAAGCTAATACATTTTTATATATAAAATGTATATATATATACATGTTATATATAAATATGTTAGATTTTCAAAGAACATTAGACAATTTTCAGTTGAATCCCTGGGCTGTGGCAACCCCAAATCATTTTTGGCGTAATTGATTACTTTGAAACATCTCAAAATTAAACAAGTGGCCTCTAACAAGCATTATGTAATCAAAGTGGTTCAGCTTGGTTAAATTAAATAAATGTATCTGTCTGTGTAAGCCTCTTCAGTTAGAAATTGAATTTTAAGCCACAACGCATACAGTGATACTTCAAATCAACCATGAAGACCAAGGAACCTTTAAAACACATCAGTGATAAAATGGTAATGAAGCACACATCAGAAGAAGGTTACAAAAAAGTTTAAAAGTCATTGATCATCATTAAGAAGTGGAATGTGTATCATAGTCTTCAGATCAGGTAGCTCTTCCAAACTGAAGAGGCAGTCAAGCAGGGAACTGGTTAGGGATACCATTGTGAAGTCAAAAGTAACTATGAAAGTTGTGCAGATTTCTGATATGCAGGTCAGTGTTCATACATGAAGAAAAGTGATTACTGAAAAAACGTCAACAAAACATGTACAGTAAATGATACTACAGACATGTAGTTGAAGAATTTGGGCTCAGATGAAACAAAACCTTAGATGGAATTTGGTCAAAATGCATAGTGTTACCATAGTATGTCGTCTGCTGTAAGTTCTAAAACAGCATATCACCCAGTCAGCACCATCCCAACTGTCCAGCAGGGTCATGGTAGCATTAGATTGTGGAGATGATCAGAGACTAGGACGTTTTTCGGGGGGAAGACAGTTCAAGCTCCTGGTAAATTCTAGAAGAAAAAAAAGAATCCAAGCCAGGGTAAAAAAAAAAACACCTCTTTTCAGCAGGACAGTGAATCAAAGCACTAAGTTACACTGAAGAGGATTGGTTTGAATTGAAGCCTACAGAGGAAGGGTAAATTTAAGAATAGCCCAAAAACCCTAGCCAATATCTCTTTGGAGGTAGAAGGAAACTTGAACACCTGCTGGAACCCTACATAAATATGGGAAGAACATGATATCATTGGGGGAAGCACAGTTATATATATTCTATAAATTCATAAATAAGATTATTTTATACAGTATATACTGTACAGGATTTTGCATTGTTTGAGTTATTCAAGTCTATTGTAGTCTGAACTGTAGTTTATGTTAGGTATGCGAGATCTGGTTTTAAGAACGGACCAAGTTATGCAAATTAACATCCAAGTCATTTTATGTACAGCACTTAAGTTGTATTAAAATTGACAAATGTTAGGCCACCAGACTACAGTACAGTAGTCTACAGTACAGTACATTCCACAGAACCCAAGTGAAAACAATATATTTAGCCTTATCAGTTATAAACCTCTCTACTAAAGCACTGTATTGCACAAAGCACATAGACTGCATATTTGCAACAAAGATATATATTTAGTAAACACTCACACCAAACATTAAGTCAAAGCATTGGAGATATACAAATTGGTCTTGGTCAACCAAGAATTCAGCTAAAAGGATCAGATATACACACAGACAAATACATTAATTCCAGTGGTTCACTGTTGGATGTTCGTGCAGGAGAATTCAATCTTTCGTAGGTTTTTTTTTTAAACTTTAATAGGAATTGCTTCACAAAGGAGTTATTTTCACTATTGTGTGTATTGAAGTATCTTTTTATGTTAATCTTAAAATGTTCACTGGTTATAAGCGGCTAAACGAGCTGCTCACATAATCAACTATTCTCTCTACATCTTTGGCAGCAAGACAGACAGGTCGCTGTGAAGTGTTCCTGAATTTCTTTCAATAATTCAATTTTTGTTCTACACTGTTCAATTTTTATTCATTTTTGTATTTCTTTTCGTGACGTTATCCACAGTCTGGTCAATAGAAAGAAAGAACCCATGGTAACTTTTCTGCAGGGTCAAATTAAAACATTCAGAACAGGCCTCACAATTTTATCTTTTTTTTTTGAACATACAGTATCTGATAAATAATTCGATGGAAAATTAACACTCGCATGTAAATCTTACATTCATGGTGAAATGCTAAAGAACTCTTCAGTGTACTACATTGGATCAATCAGCACAAAATCACAGTCAGCATTAGTTATATAGTTCCCTCAGTCTATTATCCATTTAATGTATTCTTGCATATATGATATGCATCTTTTCTTTTTTAATGCGTGTGTGTCTCAAATCTATGACCCACTGATATCTTATTGTGGCAGGTCTGGAATGCAACTGGAAGATTAGTTGTTACTTTAGTCATCCTTCCTGGAAATATCTGACAGCTGGTTACTGATCTAAGAGGAGATGGGAGGATATCCTTGTAGACGGTTATACACCTCTTGACTGGGAGTGTCCCATGTTATTGTTGGGTCAAGCCATAGGTTATGATGAGCACATGCTAGTTTAAGAAGAGTTTCCAGATGTTTTATGTGTTTTTCCTGTCTTCCTTTCTGAGTACAGGGTACTGCAAATACAAATGTTTTTTAGACCCTAATAACATAATAAGAATATGTACTGATAAAAGCAATAGTAGGAAAATCTAAAACTCACAATAAATCATGTACTAGGATTCAGCAATGGATTATACAGTACATTGTACAGTTCCAGCATTGCAGCAAAAGCATATTCTGTACATATGAAATGGTTTGTCAGCACAGTAAATCACCACAGAAGTCTCAAGAGTGTTATCATGGTCACCTGCAGTGTTATTCTTTCAAAAGCCTAGTGGAAGAAATGAGGAGACTGGCTTATACTGCACATAGGCATTTTTTTTACATTTTATCAAAGTCAGTTTGCACTTGAAAGTTCATGCCCCTTTTTTAACTTAATTGTGAACATAATAAACTGTTATTCTATAAATGAATACAGATTGTATCTTCTTCTGTCGGAGAAACTGCAGGTGGGAGTATTTCTGGATTAAATAAACTGAATTTCTAAATTGTTAAGCAATGCAAAAATGTTCTTAAATTTGCCTTATTTTATGTTCATTTTTAATTTAGAAAGACTGAGTTTATAATGCATGAACATATAATGTATGATCTGTAACTAATGATGAATATATAATTATATACACAATATATTGTAGCAAATCATGGTAAAACTCGTACATTTGTGTACACTTGTACATTTGTGGTGAAAAACATACTGAAGAATTATTGTGTACATATATCAAACATGGTATCACTTTCTTAAAACAACTTTTTACAATGTAGAGTAAAATTCATTTTTTTAATTTAACACAGATGAAGGTGGTGCCTTTGTGACTTGGTGGCAGAGAAGTACATGCTGTTATTTGTATGAGTATTATTATTAATAATATTATTAGTGTCCTTGTTAGAATAAAATGTGATGTAATTTAAAAAAAATAAGTTCTGTATAGGTCATCTACACGAAAGGATTATGAGTCATTGCCTTGCTCAACACTGGTGTACCAGTTCTTTTTTAAATGTTCTTATTATTAATCTCAAGTCACTGCCTTCCTGAACCACAAACTTTTCGGTTGTTTTACATTGACCTTTACAGGCACTGTAACAAAGCCCATCTCAGACTGAACTGGTTCCTGCCAGAAGGATTATCCCATTACTGGTAAAATGTGTTCCTAACTGCAGCTTTCCAGTCTCTAGCTCTTGTAGTGTGAACCAGAAAGATCACATTGTAGTCACACAGTTCTGGTGAATGCTTTTTTTTGGGTCAGATGGCACGCAAAACTGCCTCCCCAACCTTTTCAGATTGCTGCTTATTCACATTCTTATTTCTGTGTTTATAAAACATCTCAGCATCATGTGCATGTGGTGCAAGTGCATTGTGTTTTAATTAGTGGGAGGGGGAGCTCTTTTTTCTGTCAGTGATCAATGACTTCCTTATTTGGCACACTCAGTGCTAGAACACAGAAATTGACTGGTGCTAGTCAGTTTCACGGCAGTAGCATTTTAAACAATATAGCACTTACACTGGATTCTCTGTGCTCGAGCAATTATTCATCAACATGAGTGCAGGGGATGTGGTCTTCACAGGCTGGCTCATCAAATCACCTCCTGAAAAGAAATTGAAGAGATATGTGAGTACTAAAATGAAAGAAAGAAATACGTAACGTGTTATTGTGATGCATTCTTCTCAGGCTGTCGTAGTAGTAGTTGTAGTTCCTGCACCAAATGTGTGCATGGCTCTCAGCCATGAACACAGTAGTTCTGCTATGCTTTTAGAAAATAGAATCACTTTTCTTTTCCAGAGAAAGAAACAGTAGCTTGCAGCTGCATGTTACATTTGACAGCTCTTAGATTTATTGGATTTTGCATGGTAAATTGTGCACTGTATGGCTCTTGTTAATTCTGACAGCATGAGACACTGAAAACATAATATCAAGTGCATTTTTAGTGCTGTGATATTTTTGCTAATTGATAAGGGAATATTCATCTTTTAAACAGATAAAAATGCTTGAAATTGTAGTTGAGGGAAATGTAGAGGCTTGCAACTTGAACTGTAGTGTTTCTAAATATCATTGGCATCCTTAGTATAAAGTAAGTAAATATTTTTGTTCCTCATGTACAGAAAACAGAGTCTCTCATACTACACTTCTTTTACAATAAGGTTAAGGTTTGTTTTATACAAACCTTTTTTTATTTTTATTTTGTAAATAACAATTAATTCATTAAGTTGGTAGGATCTTATTATTATATTATGCTCTTTGTACAGTACTTTCATTATATGGTGTTTTTGAAGACACATACTGAATAGAAGCTGATGACATAATGTTCTTTGAAAAGTCTTATGTGAAACTAACAGTTTCTGTTGTGTAGTATAGGATAGCAGGGGCCCCTTAGCCTGAACTAGATGTCTAACTGCCTGACTGTTATTCTGTGAAATTTGGGTGTGTGTTGCAAAACATGGGAAGCTCTAACACAGCTGAGCTTTTAGAAATGACCCGTCAGACAGAAGTGATCAGGCAAAAGCTTTTGCTTTGCAAAGTAAGACACAGAGAACAGCAGTTTAAAGGGGACATGATTATTACAGTATGCTCTTCTGTGGTGCTGATACACCAGGAAATTCCATCTACGCCTTTTCGATTATTTTGGGCAAACAGGGACAAGAGTTCAAATCTCATTGTCACATGAATAAGAAAGTTGAGGACAACAGGAAGAATAGTGTTTTCCTTTCAGGCGGTTGACAAAAAAAAACTTGTTTCAAACTCAACAGAGACAGAGGCCCACTCTCTTCAGAAAGTACTGTTATAATACTGTTGGACGTGAAATTATGTAATATGTGGAAAGAAAAAGAAATGGGGGATATGGGAAAAATATACAAAACAAAGTAAAGTATACAAAACAAATATACATTATATATAAACAGAAATGAAAGAGTCATGTGAGTATAATGTATAAATCGTTAAGACAGAATTCAAGGTTTTCATTTATTCTAATTATGATGGGCACATCAGACACATCATTCTGAAATGTTTTGTGTGTAGGTGACTATCATTTTGAGTAAAACAGGTTCAATAAAAAAATAAAACACAGAGACACCAGTATACGGTCTGGAGGAGTTTTCCCACTCTTATGATTACCTAGTCCTAGAAAGTAGCAGTCCTCTTTTTTGCTGTTTAAGATGGTATTATGTTTTGTCCTGTTCTTTGCTTCCTATTGTTCAACATTATTTTCTTCATCTTATTTCAAAGGCATATTTGATTTTTAGTGTAACTGGCTAGTTTTCATTTTCAATTAAAAATAATAGAGCTTTTTGTTTCAACTTCACTCACTTGACTCTTCTGTGAAAAGAATATGGAATGGGAGAGTGAGTGCTACCATAGACTGTTGCTTTTTGTTGATATCATGTAGAGTCTGTGTTGAATATAATGAAACAACAAAGTCTGTTCTAAACTCTGTTCTTTACTTTTGTCTTGTCCTCTGCATGCTGATGTTAGAGAACACTGAACCAAGGGAAATTTGTAATGTTACATGTGTTGAAAGAATCAAAATACAATAACAATGTGATCACTCATTCACTGTCCATTAGAGTTAGCAAGTCTACATGTATTTTTTTCTACGTGTTTTGTCTTAAAGATTTAGGCATTTCTTTATAATATGTCTGCAGTTATAAGGGCATATACATACAGTATTAAACTTCCTTTAAGATTTTCCTTAAAGTTGTTTTTAAGGATATGAACTTTGAACCTTTCGGACATGTCTTTATACTAGAAAATGTTTAAAAACAAGACAAAACTGGATGTGATCTAGTGTTTGAAAAGTCATTCTTAGTACATTAATCTGATATTTGAAGTGCCTTTTTATTTCAAACTTTTTTTCATTGAGTCATCTGTTTATCAGCTGACACTGTGACCAACACATACCTCAAACTGTAGCAAATTGCTGGTAATTTAAATTGCAAATGAATCTAAAAAATTAGTCTACAATTACCATGACTTTATGTTTTTTTAATCTGTGAGAGCTTTAGATTTTTTAAATTGAATGAACATTTTTCTGTAAAGTGTTTTTTTAAACTCAGCACTTTCAATTTTTACCATTTTTTCCTCAATCAGATAGGTAATCCATTAGATATACAATATGACATTTTTTTGCCTACAAAAACAGGTCTGAAGGGTCAAACATATTAACTAAGTCCATTGTATCTTCCATGTATTAGACCTTTTATTTCAGTTCATAATAACTCAACCCCAGCTGGTGAATATCATTAACAGGAATTGCAACACCCAATTTGATGTTTGTGGCTAACATATGTCCCAATCTAATGTACTCTAAATACAGTAATTTGACATACAACACTTACTATACTGTATACTATACGTTTATTCCAAGTTTATTGTGGACTCAGCTTCAAAGTTCTAATTTTATGGGGATTGTACAAATCATGTAAATGTAGGAGGTGAACAACCTTGCAATTTGTAAGCTTTTGCAAACCTTGTTTCTGCTATTATCTAATATGTTTAAGCACAATGGTCTCCTCCTTTTTTGTGGTCAGGGAAGAGTTCCATGATATTCTAATCTCTGTTTGCATGCTATCCCTTTGAATATGCAAACTCCATTTTCCTTTTTATGGGTTAAGACAGTATATGTTCTAAGAGGTTTTAATAGAGTCAACAAGTCAGCAATGGATTTATTTTGTCCTGCAGTTTTTAATTTGTTTAATTCAAAGCAGTTCTAATCTTCACAGAAGAAGAAATATAACTTTCTGCCAATTTCATTACTGTACAATACGCAATACAGTACTTTTGTTTATCTTTAGGTCTTTTATTTTCAGTGGTATTTCCTATTTTCTGTTTCTCTATTATTTTTGCTTGCCTTCCTGCTGCCTTGGATAAATGCCAGCCTCTTTTGTTTTTCTCTCCTCCCCTATGACTAGTGTAAATAAGGTGCCAAATGCTTCTTTAGAGTTAGCCAGAAACTCAGCTAATTGAGGCACAGCCAGTGTATGCTGGAGCCTTGTTCCTTTGCTAAAGACGACTCTTCGTTTTTCTCTGTGTTTCTTCCTGTACAGTATATCTCAAGCGATTAAAGAGAATGGCAACCCTGAGAACCATTAAAATGGACAGATTGTGTTCATTTCACTGGGGGTTTATGTAGATGCTTATGTAGATTGTATCTTGCAATAACCCTCTCGCTACTACTTCTTGCTGCAAGAGGATTATTTGGTTTTGCAAATTTCTTCTAAATTCCACTTGTTTAATTCCTGCTGTATTTTTTCAGATACAACTGAGACAAACATGAAACAAAAATATAATTTGTTACCACTGTTTTTTTTTCTTGCTTATAGTGATTGAAGTAGAAGCTTTTTATTATTTTCCAAGATCAAATTTGTCAGAATGATTTCTCAAGGATTCCTCTGTCTTTCTCTGAAATAGATTTTCAAAGATGTTTTTGTTTTGAAGGCCAGGGTTTGGAGATAATCCTTTGGCAGTTTTTTTCTGTTGTCATTAAAACTTAGCTGCCTGCGTTATCTGTTGTTTACTAGTAATACACATTCAAAGAACAAGCAAGGTACTGGATGAACAATGTTGACATTTAAAGGAACATGCTAACAGCCATTACTCAGATGATTACAGACACTGCCAATAAGCATGCAAATCATTCTCTGAACATGGGTATTTAAATATTATCAGGAGTAACAGTTTTATATGTTGGTAGAAGACAATGCTGTTGTGTAAAAAAGACCAGTACAGTAAATGAACTGTATCATTAAAGGGATTTTAAACATTGTTTCTCACTTACTGTATATAGACATTATAAAATATTGTATCAATGTTGACAGCAAATTGTTAAAAGCCTAACTTTGAACAGTACAAATATTCATTTTATAAATGTTGAGTAAATATTGATCTTTTTTAATTCATGTCATTTATTTTCTTTGTTTATTTTGTATGGGAAAAAGGGATAATACAGTTATCCATTACCTGTATAATAAAAAAATACCTCTATTACTAAAGAGTAATAGTGTAAATAGTACAATTCACAGGGATAAAATCCTGAAAAATAGTATTTTGTTAAATAGTGTCAAGGTAATGCAATGAAGGTTCATTTGCTATCCTTCTATAAGTTAGGGAAACTGATGTAGACCTAGAAAAAAAAACTTTGAAGCCAAATTTCAGACTTCTTTCCTTTTTTGTGGGTGGATTCTAAGGCAGAGTGCAAGCTGCAGGCTTCCTGAGGACATCTAAGATATCTATAAAGATGATTCATTGCACGGTTTGCCTTTCTCTTCACAGTTTAGCTTGTGGATCATGTCACTAACATTCCCTTTTTTCATACCAAAACACTGCCAAACGTTTGGAAAAACATTTTAAATTGCAAAATTGACCAGAATCACCAACTCAAGTTGGTTTGCTACTTAAATGCAGGATTCCTTTTGGTTCAGACTTCATTCTCTATGAATGATTCATATTTAATTGCAGTGAAGAACATTTTTTGTCTCACAAAGAATTCAGTCACCAGCTACTACCCTGTACATCATCTAAGATTATTCTCTGTCATAAATTAAAATGCATTTTCTATTAAATCAGTGTATGATGCTTCAGTATTCAAAAGGAGTACAACATTATAAAATAAGAAA